AGAGAGTGAGTATTTATTTTGATAACGGTCTCCTGTCAGCGTCAAGCAGTAAAGCTAAATGAGCCCTCAGTAGCTCCGTGAGGCGGCGTGGCTGTTACGCTGGGATACAAAGCAGGTTTGGAGTCCTCTGGGCCCTGTGCTACCCCACGTGCAGGCTGCTGCGCAGGAGGAGATGTTTGGGGCTTGCGTTTGGGGTGCCATAATTTCCCCGTGGTTCTAGAATGGACAGGAGAGAGGGATGTGGGAAGCGTGCCCTGGGGCAGTTGGGATCAGGGATGCTCACTGGGATGTGGGGGTCTCCACAGCAGAGAAAAGCAGCTCTCGGGGCAGAGTGTAAACAAGGAACCTGACTGTGGTGTAGTGGTCGATACTCAGTCGGGAATGGGGAGTGGGATGCACGTCCAGATTATGCTTTTTAAATAAATTAAATTAATTAGAGTGTAAAGCCTGTGGCAATCGCGTATTTCCTTACTCAGTGTTTTTTATCCTGTCATACATCTTGTACTGGGATACTTAATTGGCCTCACTGGATTTTTCAAAAAATGAATGCCCACATACAGGGCAGTACAGCATTTCTTCCCACTTCTGTTGCATGACCTTGTCAATGATGCAGTTCCTCCTTTTAAAATTTTTATATATATGTGTGCATATTCTTAGCCTTGTCTGTGTTGAAAGTGTCTTCAAATTTTATCAAAATCTTCCTAATTAGGGAAAATTTTAAATGTAACCAGTGCTTAAATAGGTCGTAGAAATTCATATGTTCAGCTGTCAGCAGTGCCTGTTGACATTCTCCGTACCAGTTTCTTTTCCACCTTCTAATTGTTACAGTAAGTTCCATTTTCTGCACTTTAGCTGATGAATCTCTGGCATAGTAACATTTGCTTTACATTTTGTATTCCAGTATAATTTAATCTTATCTAATGTGCAGTTGATAAATCCATGCCGTGCTTTATCCATTTCCTTCCCCACCACCACCTTGTACTTTGCAGCTTTGCACTTTATTATATCAACTGTTGAATGAGTCTGTGGTTGTCAAACTTGCTCTACTATTTAGCTGTCTCTTGCAAATAGATCAAAGCTGGGTTTTTCGTGCTCCAGCCTAAGCAGATATCCATAATGTGACAGTTTAAAATTAAATCTTACCACCTTGACAGGTTATTTGTACCGATTCTGAGCAGGTGATGAGTCAGGTCCCCTGTAATTAAAATATTTAATGCTCTTTTAAGTTTTTTTCATGAGATAAAATGGGATGTGGTTATTTTCATTTATCTCAGTAGTGCCTGTGTGCTTCTCCTCACTAATGACAACTGAGGTGAAATGTTAATGTGTCTTCTAAGTCATGCCTACGCTGTCTTCTGCCTTTATTGCTTCTGAGCGTTGTCCGAGTTTGTATCTTGTCCTGTTCCTTCTTAGGAAGGTTAGGGAACCCCTCTTTTCCCTGCTTTTAATTTGCTTTGTAGGGTCTAATTCAGCTTGATTTTCAGCAATTTGTATTTTATATTTTCAGACCAACAAATGCATGGACCTTTTAAACTCATTTTAGTCCTCCTATTTTTTTTCTGTAGTGGGATGAAGAATTTGAACGTGCATAATGTAAATTAAGAGAAAAGCAAGTAGAATGCATGTTCTATAGCATTGAATAGGCATCATCTGAAAAACTTTTGAAACGGATGGAGAAGTTTCTATTGACTTCAGTGACTTAATGATCAACTCATGCCAGCCATGGCAAGTGGGAGCATGTTTATGATTGTTTTACTTTAAAGTTTTAAAAGTTAGCATAGTAAAAAGTAAAACAGAAATATTTCATAGAAGAAATGAAGGAAGCTCAGTGTCTTATGTGATGAAAATAGAGGGCTTTTTATTATACTGCCAGGGTCTTTTTTTTATTGCGAAGGGAAGGTTCAGAAGTTCAGTCTCATTCATAGCTTTTTCAGACTAACATTTTGAGAAGAGTTGAGAGAAATGCGACCAAATGAAATACCATACACTATGGGAGACTTTAAAAGGGATGAAAGCTTTTTCCATGTAAATCTCCATAGGTTGGCAGAATGTTAACAACAACAATATACAGGAAAGACTTTTTTTCCCCTTTAAAAAGTGTCCTTGGCATTGTGAAAAAACCTGCAGAAAATATGATGTGCTGATCAAGAGTAAGATTTTTATCTAGAAGTATTGTAAAAAGTTCTAATACCCTATAAACATTTTAATATGGTACATAGCAAGTGTATTTATATTACAGGAAATAATGATAAAGATTAAATAAAACCATGAATGTTTTTAATAACTTTGTATGAAAGAAATGTCTGAGTCCAGGCGGACATAGACTAAAACTGATCAGTTGTACTGCCTGTTTTCTTAAGTTATTCTTTACAAACAGGTACCTATTTTTAAATGTGATTCGTTAACTGATCTTAAAGTCTTATTTTAATTTTTAAAATAAGACTGAGTCTCATTTGTTTATAAACAGATTGTTAACCACTCTTGGTTCCTTTGTATTAGGTAAAGTTACCACTCAACTGTATTTAAAAAATAATAAAATTCAGAATGAAGAAATAGGATCTTGAAGTCCTCATGGCAGTGGAGGCTCTAAGGAAGACAGATAACCTTGAGCTTTAAATGGTTTGAAAAAATCCCTTTCTCAAGTTGTTTTCACATCTGGGAGATTTAGAAAAACCCCAAACGTGTCACTTAAAGGGCAGGTGAAAAGTTTTGTTAGGAAATATACCCTGCATATTCTGTGTTCTTAAGTTATCTCAGGCCCCAGTTCAGGTTCAAGGCTTGGATTGCATCTTGTACCATGCAGTAAGTTGTGTTTTAGTAGTTGCATTGCTGAAGTGGGACAAGCTAAAATAAAAACTATAAACAGAAGGTAGTTTGGGTGCTTTTGAACTTTGATTTAACTGTGAAAAATTGTATTGGAATAAAATTTATCTTGCTCTGTTTGGGGAATTGTGGGATCTGAATGGATGGATTCATTCTGATGGAGGGACGGGATCCAAATCCCCGGTGCCTCTCGAAGCTCAATCAGCCAGGATACAGCGCAATCTGCTTTTGATCTAGGCAAGTTTTTGAAAATGTGCTAGACATGATGCCTGAACAGTAGGCCCACTGAAGTCTTAGCAGGCTTTTCAATTAAGAACCAAGTCTCAAATTAGAAAGCATTGGATTAAATAGATGAATGCTGAACTTGGAGAAAACAACTGAAAAATTTCACCTTGACATTCAATTGGAACAGAAGGCATGTAAAGAACACAGACAGATCGAGGGCCATTTTGCAGGAGAAAATAATACTGCTGGCACCTTTCTCCTTCAGCGTCCTGTCTTGAGAGTAAGCCCAGAGAGCTAGATGAGCTCTCCACTGCCTTTCCCAGCCTTTTCCTGAAAGAGCTTTGCTCAGGTCGCCCTCTGTAGCTGGTTTTAAATAATGAATGTGTTTGAGGATGTTACTAACTTTGTTTCAGTTGATTTCAAAGAAAATTATCAGAGAAGTCGAGTTGTATCTGAAATCTGCTAACAGTTGAGTAGATTCACCTAAATAGTGTTGGATGGTGCAGCACCTTGTGCTCTTTGCACAGCGGTGGGGCTCTGGTGAGTCAAAACTGCCTGGCTTCTGTAGGGAACTTGCCATGGAGAGGTTCTTTGTGTTGGTGGGGATGCTGCAGATGGCTCTGGTGTTTCATGTCCTTCCAGCAGATCATTTGCAAAGCAATAGAAAAAGTACTTTCTGTTTCATGGACTTGGGAACAGGGCTGTCAGTGTTTCATTTGAACATCTGAGCTAGGTTAGCTAATTGAGAGTGGGAAATAATGTATTATTCTTAGTGACACTACCATAGAAACAAAGGATGTCTTTAAGGTCCTGTGAATCACTGAGAGAGTAGTTGGTCATTGCACAGGCTCCTCAGGGAAGTGGTCATGGCACCAAGCCTGACAGAGTTCACAGAGCATCTGGAGGATGTTCTTAGGTTTAATTTTAGGTAGCCCTGTGGGGAGCAGAGAGTTGGGCTTGATGATACTTATGGGTCCCTTCCAACTTGAGATATTCTGTGATTCTGTGATTTTGGGCAGGAAGATAGGTGAAACCCATTTTTTATACTTAAATTAGCATGGAAGTCAGCCTAAGACGTGGAGTCAATGGTTGCAAGAGAAAACATTCATAAAGATAACCTCAGTCAGGTTAGCCAGATATCTTGGTTTTTGTTAAGTTATGTAGCTGTCTTTCACTCTAATCGCGTTGAGCTGTATATGTCTTCTTTTCTGAATGGAAATGAAAACTGCCCAACTGTGTGTTAGTTGTACCTGTAAGGCAATGTTGCGTTTTTCCAAGTAAGAGAGACTTGTGGTGAGACCTCAGCCCAGCTTATTTCATTCCCAGCAGCTGTGAAATGCTGAACGGTCACTACCTGCATTACACCGAGAACCACAAAACTGCTAAACAGCAGATTAGCTGAAGTGTTTTCAGGATTTTACCCATACTATGACAATTAGAGGACTAAGCCAAATATATATATATATAAAATTTTAGGGTTTTTTAAGATAGATTAGACGAAGAGACAACGTGCAGGTATATGTAACTATATTAAAATAGTGTTGTACTGTTTCTTAAAGCTAATGAGGGATACTACTATGAGTGAGGATGACTTGTAGAATGTATATTTGAGTATACATGTGTACGTACATGTATACATTTTTACATGTGTAGTTGTTGATGCTGACAGAAAGGAAAAACATGTTATGTATCGCTGTTTTCCAGCTTCCTTGCATCTCTTTCCATGCCCAGTCAGTTGATGGTTTGAATTCTGTCTTCCTTGGCCCTTGAGTAAGGAGATCTGAGAGGGAAGTGTTCAAACTGCTTGCTAAGCTCAGGCAGAAGACATCACTCTGCTCACTGACGCAATATGTTGAACGATGAAAAGCTACAGCATTTCCTATCAAAGCTATTTTTCTTCCTAGTATCACTATGGGAGAGTATTACTGACTTATGTTTGCATCCATTTGCAGGAATCTCGGTGGCCTTACTTATTTGGAGCCATCATTGTTCCTTCATTGATACAAGTCATGATTTTGCCTTTTCTTCCTGAAAGTCCTCGTTACCTCCTACTTGAAAAACATAACACGAGCAAGGCAGAAAAAGGTATGATGTGTTTCTTTGTTGCAACAAAAGATGCTTATTGTAGGGATGCAGGCTGGAAAGTAATTCAGATATCACAGTAAAAGCAGAATATTCCAGTAGGACAGATTCTCTTTGCAATTTTTTTCCCCTCATCTTTTTTTTGTGTCTCTGTGTATGTGTAAAAATAACTGTTGCTGTGATTTTTTTTAAAATAAATTAAATTCTCCAACAAACTAACCTGTATAGCTTTATGCATGGTGACACAAACCTAACCAAATCATCTTGCTGTTGTGTGTCAGCCACTATATGCAAGGTTCATTCAGGAGTGAAAGTTGATTTCAGCCTTCATGACTCTTTCTTAATCTACAGTCTTTGCAGTTTGGTTAACAAAAACACTGATTCTGTGGCTGGGTTTTGTTCAGTAGCCACTGTGTTTGACCATGTGTTTCTGTAACTCACTGACCTTTGTAGATCTAATAAAAACCTCATACACGTATTTAACTGAAAATTTTCAGTGCTTGCTTCAGTTTCACAAACACAGACCAGAATATTTTGTCCTTTAGGTTCTATGTTTAAAAAAAAATTTTTGTGTGATCACAGCTGCTGTATACTCTGCCCCACTAAAATTACTATGGTTAGTTGTGAGTTCAATATATCATCATGTTATGATTGAGGGAATATTGAAAAATGTTTTTTCTTTATTATAGGGATGCATTAAAAATAGGAGTGTACAAAGAGGGAAGGAGCCTGATTATAATACCAAGATGTTTGCAGAACATAACTGAGCTTTGAAAATTATTCCCAAAAACTTCATTAGACTATAACTCTTAACATTTTCTGTCGCTTGCAGTATTGCCTGCAAAGTGTAGATCAGCTAGCGCCTGAAACTTAAATTTAATAATCTTTTAGCATGAAATTAATACAACTCACTCTATCTTGTTTCTTCTACTATGATGAAATGAAAAACTGGGCTTTTTTGTTCTGATGCGCACTCTGAAATAGAAATGGCATGCTAATGAAGAGACTCCCATGTTGTCTCAGTTTGGTGTCGAATGAAGAATTTTGTAAATGTTCAAGCCTCAAACATTTAAAGATACAGTAGAGTTTAAAAAAAAGAAGGAAAAAAAGAAAAAAGAAGGAAAAAAAGAAAAAAGAAGAGATCAAAAGCAACAAGGCTTTCAGGAGAGTTCTTTAGCTTTACAGACTCAGGGGAGATTTGGTGAGGCAGAGAACAGCTTTTCCAGGGACCACGAAGGCAAGGGCTCACCTGCCAGCTGTGGTCAGAGCTCCCAGAGGGACACAGTGATGAGCGGCTTGGGGCTGGCTGGTGGGTACTAACTTCTGCAGCACCACGGCTGGGCTGGGAAGAAACGCCTTTAAATGCCAAGTTTAAACTGGCTCATGTCTACCTGATAAAATTGTAAATGTATTTCCGGAGCTGTGGCTGGCAAAGAGTCCGTATCTGCAAAGCCATTGCATAATGTCACACTTGTTACAGGGATCTATTGGAAATACAGCACAGTACCTGGAAACCTCAGCACTGACAGCGAAGCTGGGCCTCTTATAGGTAGAGTTTAAAAATTGTAGAAAAATAGCAGTAAAATAACACCACCTGTCTTGAAATTCACACCATTTTCTGTTGCTGGTAATGGGTCAACTGCAGTCTAGGATGTTTTCAGTATCCATGTTCTGAAAATGATTTGAAAGCTAATCTAGATGCATTGGAGGTGGATTTGGTAGTTGGTAGCTGAAGGGAAATGACCTTTAGCAACTGGCTTGCTGATTTATGAGAAAATGACTTTCATGAGCCACCTTAAAGACTATAAATTTAGGCACTCTGAGGAAAAAAGAGGAGGCTGATATTAAAAACTTTTCAAAGTAACTGCTTATCAATAGAATCTTTTGGACCCAATTAATTCTAAACTAAAAATTTAATACTGCGATACGTTGTAGTACAGAAGGTAACTCATTTTGAGTGTAGTCTACACAGCTTTCAAAACACCTAGGGACTGATGTTTCTAGACAGAGATTTGCAGAGGACCATAGGGCAGTGAGGTGTATAAGTCCCCTCTGAATTTCCTTCCCATTCCTTGCCTATCAAGCAGCCATGCTTCCAGAATTGGCCACCTTGTTGCATGGGCAAGGTAGCCTGTAAGATATCAGCTGCAAGACAGGTAAGGATGATTCTTAAACATCATTTCAGAGTTTGTAATCTATAAAATCCACCTGTAAGGCAACATAGATCATATCATGTTATACTTCTGTGCTATAAAGTATCTACATGCTTTATGATGAAGCATGTTAGGAACACAAGCCATTTTCTTACCATTGCTCTTCCTTTGTAATCCCCCCTCTCCTAATGTAGATTTGCAAGTGAGAGTATCTCTGTTCAGCATGGGGGTAAGTGGGGAAGGAGTTGAGTTGATTCATGCAAGGACGGGGCAGAAGGCACCTGTGACATTAGCCCAGCGTGGGGTTTGGCGCCCTCCTCCTTACTCCAGGGCACTTGGAGAAATCCAGATTAGGCACGAGCCAAGTCTCAGGTATCTGGAGTATTGCAGTGGAGTAATGAAAGCGAGTGGGGGGAATTCACAAAATAGGAGAGTGAATAACTGTGAATCAATGATCAAGAAAAAATATCTGGATGTTAGTATTATCTGGAGAAATGGAGGAGGAAAAGCCTGAATATTAGGGAGACCAGAGGAGGTTGTAGGTTATTAAAAAAACCCTACTGCTTGTAAGCCATATAATGACAATGCAGTATTCTCCATTTTAATAATGACTTCAGTAATGCTTTTCAGCTATTTCCCTCTTAGGTTTAATTCTGCATATTAATATCAGAAATCTGCACATCATTCTCCTGACTAAATCCTTTTTCCTTCCCCTAACAGATCAAGGCTATTCATGCAAATATACATTTCACTGTGGATTATATCTTGTTGGAGAAATATAAAACTGTTATTTGTAAAAGGTCTGCTGTATTTAAGGCAGATGACTACATTAGTCTTTATAAAATACTCTAAAATGTGTATATATGTCAAAGCTTCTAAAATGGAGATGGCAACATTAATCTTCCTAATTGTTTTAGAGCAATAAAAATCCAGTGGGATAATGTAGGTCATTGAGTTTCTGCAAAATTCTGCTCCTGCTTTCATCCCCTCCTTTTCTTCTGTCCTCAGGAGATAACCAGACTATAACTATGGAAATACAAGTGGCCTCATTTTCTTTTTTGGCAAAGGTGTAAAAGAGTATGATGGCTTTAGGTGACAAATAAGAGACTGAAAGGAGAAGGCCCAAAATATGTTGTGTAAGTGATAAAAAAAAGAGAAGGGGTGAGATTAGAGCAGACAGGCGTCATGTACGCCTGTAAAGCACACCACCACAAGAGAGGCTACTCCATGAGCAGAGCAGTTGTGAGGCCTCAGATGGGTGATGTTTCCAGAGCTCCACTAACAGGGATCTACCCGGTTCCCTGCTTTCCCCTCCTAGGAGTGCAGACGGTGCCCGCTGTGGGTGGCTGAGCCGATGTCTGGCTGATCAGCTGTTCGGACACCGTGGCTGCCAAAAGCAATGCTAGCAGCCAAGCTCTGCTTGTCCTCCTGGAGGTCACCATCCTGTATCTGGCTCCCTGAGACCAACAGGAGATGAACTATTGCCCATATTCCTGTCCCGCTGCTGAATGTGGGAGAACTGATTTATGTGTTGTGGGGGGGAGAATGATGGACTGGACCAACAGCACAATCCGTAAACCTGCTGTGCTCAAAAGCTAAAAGTCTGGTAATGGGAGAGGGAAGAACCATCCCAGCTCTCCTTCCAGGTCCCATAACTAACGTTCTTTCTTGGTAAGAAAAAAAAGGAGAAGAATGCCTGGCATTTAACTGGTGTGATTCTTCATAATGCTCTCCAGACAGCAGAGGAGAAATGGGTGTTCAAGTGATTGAGGAGAAGGACTTTGGAAGGAGATTGTTATTCAATTGCTAGAGAGCAGTGGGAGTGAAGAGTAACAGGGACAGAAACAGAAAGAAAAAGAAAAACCTGCTGCTGTAGTTACATCAGGTAGTTTACCGTCCAAGCTCTAGGACGGTAAGACAGGAATTTGACATTAGTTGCCTATTAGTTGCATGGCAGGCAGACCCCTGATCTGTGACTGTGGCCATGATGCAAGATAAATAAAAACAGTAGTAGCAGTAGTGGAATAAAACAGAACCGTTTTACGACTGACTACATTGGTTATAAACACTGTCAGTTGGAGAGTGGATGTGTCTCTCTTGAACAATGCTGTTACAAGGAGGAAACCTGAATTTTCAATGCAGCTACAGTAGCATGTCATGTGAATCAGTACTGGAATTCAGGTGGCAGCCCAGCTTGCCAGAGAACAAGAATATTGTTATGTCTTACAGGTCAAATAACTTAGATACAATGCCACAGAAACATGCGTTGGTGAGGTACAAAATCTGTTCATCTAGTATGTTCAGTCACACATTGAAACTGCCATGGTTATGAAAGAAGCATTACACTAGGTATAACAAGAAGTGTAGATTTAAATTCTTAGAAAGATGGATTAGAGTTGATACCTTTTGATGTGATAAAAGAACAAGGCCATTCCTGATTTTAAAAAGCAGATAGCTAATTTTTTACAAAGCCCCTCATGGGGCCCACATGGACAGGGGAGATTAAAACCAAAGTTAAGGCAGGAACAAATTGCTGCAAATCCAGTGATTTAAATGAAGTTGTTATGACTGACAACAAGGACATATATGATTTATTTTTGCTTATCTGTGCTTTTTGTATGTCTCTCAGCATTATAAGCTATGCTTATTGGAAAGGAAGAGACAGCCATGGCTACACCACTTCCTGGCTTATGGTAGAGGCTCCATCTCAGATGGTTGCTGATTGCCAAAAGCTGGAGCGATCGTGGTGTGTCTGTTTCGGTTTTAAGCTTTTCTTAAACCTTCTGCCTTTTACAAAGGATACTTGATTCACTGGGCCTTTGGTACAACTCGGTTCACCGGTTCTTGTGT